GGCCGGACTCGATGTATATGAGAGGAGGCAGAGTCAGGAACGATCCGAAGTCAAGGACACAGAGAGACAGCGTAAACTAGGACTAGCCGGGGTCTAGTACACAGTAAACAGGAAGCCGACAACCAGAACAGATAAGGATAAAGAGAAAAAGTAGTCAGAAACAAAGCCAAAGTCAATACGGAGAAAACACAACTGAACACAACAAGCGCTAAAGGGAACTGAAACAGAAACCACGATAGGGCAGGGAGTAAAGGGAGAGGTAAGTTTAAATAGCTTCTAAACTAACGTGATTGGCTCCTGTCATATCCACACCCCCAAAAGGTAAGTGTATGGGGAGTGTGGCATGACAGGGGCCAATGGGAGCCTTTTAACAATTTAGGCTCCCACTGTCTCTTTAAGAGCGCGCCCAAAACTCGCGGCGCGCTCTTAGATTCAGACGGGACATGTGACCGCTTCTCGCGGTCACTGCCCGCCTTCCTAGTGAAGCCGTCGGATGAGCCTTGCGCGGCTCGTGCAGCAGCAGGACCGCGCGCGGCTCGAAGAGAGGACCGCGGCTGGCCCCTGGATAAGGTAAGTAACGCTACACATACACAAACATTTAATTTTAATAAACAATAAAATAGTAAATATATTTATTTATTACTACTGATGTCCACCCGGCCTCCCTGTTCTTACCATGATAGGGAGAGCAGGAGTGGAACCTCATCCCTGAGGTCCAGTGGGGTGCTGCATGGATAAGTCGCTGTGCACAGACATTCCAGCTCTGTATTATTGCTGGCATTGGCATGAGGTCATACCCCGGCTCTAGCAACAATACAGGGCAAGTAAGTGTGCTGGTAGACAGGTGCTTCCTCTGGTGGAAGGTGGGTGCACCTTGCACCCCCTGGCTGCCTGTCACCTGGAACAGACAGTTTCCCTTCATATGCCACTGACTGTGGCTTCAGATTAGAGACAGAGGCAATATTTTACTTTGTTGATTTTATTGATTGATTTAAGACTTGAAGCCTACTTCCCAATACAGATAAAACCTAATTAGCTAGATTTTCTATAACTCCTTCTCATTCTTGCTCTCTCAGCATTCATACAGCAAACAGATTACTCATTATAAAAGTTACACGATGCAGAGGATTTTTACCCCTATCATAATCAACTACTACATGGTGTCAAAATTAATTACAGTATATACTCGAGTATAAGACGAGTTTTTCGGCACATTTTTTGTGCTGAAAAACCCCCACTCGTCTTATACTCGAGTCAATGTCTGTATTATGACAACTTACGGTGGTCCTGTTGGGGGCTGGCAGTGAGCTGTTACTTACCTTTCCTGCAGCTCCTGTCAGCTCCCTTCTCCTCCGTGCCGCTCAGCTCCCCTGTCAGCTCCACTGTAAATCTTCCGAGAGCCGAGGGGTCAGAGCGTTGCCACGGTAACCCGTGGCAACGCTCCGCGCGGCACTCACACCGCGAGACTTACAGTGGAGCTGACAGGGGAACTGACCGGCAGGAAGGAGAAGGAAACTGACGGGAGCTGCAGGATGGGTAGGTAACAGCTCGCTGCCAGCCCCCCTCCTACACAGGCCATCCACTAGACCACCAGGGAATGAGAGCTCCCCTCCCTGGCCATGTATCAAGCAATAATAAATAAATAAATAAAAATTTTAATAATACAAAATCAAATAAAAATATGAATAATAAAAAAATAAATAAACATTAAAATAATAATAATTAAAAAATAATAATAAAAATGCCCACCCCCCACCAAGGCTCTGCATCACACACACTCTGCATCACATACACACACTGCACTCATACACACACACACACACTGCATTCATACACACTGCACTCATATATACACACACACTGCATTCATACATACACACTGCATTATATACACACACTGTAAATAAATATTCAATTAATATTTTTGGGGGATCTAATTTTATTTAGAAATTTACCAGTAGCTGCTGCATTTCCCACCCTAGTCTTATACTTGAGTCAATAAATTTTCCCAGTTTTTTGGGGTAAAATTAGGGGTCTCGACTTATATTCGGGTCGACTTATACTCGAGTAAATACGGGTAATTGTTTTATTTGTACCAGGACCTTCAGTGTAATGATACTAGGACATCAAAATAAATATACAAAATATAACATTGTTTATTAAAGCAGGAATCACACAGTCAGCTTTTGTTAGATTTAAGTATATAGATATTCCTCATTTTCTCTAACTTGTCAAAAACGAGAAGTTTAATTGAGCCATTACATTGATTTGTCAAATCTAATTTGCACTAAGCAACAAGACTATTTACCATACTGGTGTTTATTGCCATCTGTCTTTTCAAATAAACCTTTTTATTAATTAGCTGTAAGTTAAATTAAAGTTATATTTAATTTGTTTGTAGCTAGCTGTTATTACTAGATCAAAGCCCTGTACAGCAATTGATAACAATTTCTGATTTGAATTACATTTATACAGCATCTGTAAGAGGATGTTTACTTGGTCACAATAAAGTATATTAGAGCGTACACATCTAAATTTAGAAATAGGACTATACAGGGAGTGCAGAATTATTAGGCAAGTTGTATTTTTGAGGATTAATTTTATTATTGAACAACAACCATGTTCTCAATGAACCCAAAAAACTCATTAATAGCAAAGCTGAATATTTTTGGAAGTAGTTTTTAGTTTGTTTTTAGTTATAGCTATGTTAGGGGGATATTTGTGTGTGCAGGTGACTATTACTGTGCATAATTATTAGGCAACTTAACAAAAAACAAATATATACCCATTTCAATTATTTATTATTACCAGTGAAACCAATATAACATCTCAACATTCACAAATATACATTTCTGACATTCAAAAACAAAACAAAAACAAATCAGTGACCAATATAGCCACCTTTCTTTGCAAGGACACTCAAAAGCCTGCCATCCATGGATTCTGTCAGTGTTTTGATCTGTTCACCATCAACATTGCATGCAGCAGCAACCACAGCCTCCCAGACACTGTTCAGAGAGGTGTACTGTTTTCCCTCCTTGTAAATCTCACATTTGATGATGGACCACAGGTTGTCAATGGGGTTCAGATCAGGTGAACAAGGAGGCCATGTCATTAGATTTTCTTCTTTTATACCCTTTCTTGCCAGCCACGCTGTGGAGTACTTGGACGCGTGTGATGGAGCATTGTCCTGCATGAAAATCATGTTTTTCTTGAAGGATGCAGACTTCTTCCTGTACCACTGCTTGAAGAAGGTGTCTTCCAGGAACTGGCAGTAGGACTGGGAGTTGAGCTTGACTCCATCCTCAACCCGAAAAGGCCCCACAAGCTCATCTTTGATGATACCAGCCCAAACCAGTACTCCACCTCCACCTTGCTGGCGTCTGAGTCGGACTGGAGCTCTCTGCCCTTTACCAATCCAGCCACGGGCCCATCCATCTGGCCCATCAAGACTCACTCTCATTTCATCAGTCCATAAAACCTTAGAAAAATCAGTCTTGAGATATTTCTTGGCCCAGTCTTGACGTTTCAGCTTGTGTGTCTTGTTCAGTGGTGGTCGTCTTTCAGCCTTTCTTACCTTGGCCATGTCTCTGAGTATTGCACACCTTGTGCTTTTGGGCACTCCAGTGATGTTGCAGCTCTGAAATATGGCCAAACTGGTGGCAAGTGGCATCGTGGCAGCTGCACGCTTGACTTTTCTCAGTTCATGGGCAGTTATTTTGCGCCTTGGTTTTTCCACACGCTTCTTGCGACCCTGTTGACTATTTTGAATGAAACGCTTGATTGTTCGATGATCACGCTTCAGAAGCTTTGCAATTTTAAGAGTGCTGCATCCCTCTGCAAGATATCTCACTATTTTTGACTTTTCTGAGCCTGTCAAGTCCTTCTTTTGACCCATTTTGCCAAAGGAAAGGAAGTTGCCTAATAATTATGCACACCTGATATAGGGTGTTGATGCCATTAGACCACACCCCTTCTCATTACAGAGATGCACATCACCTAATATGCTTAACTGGTAGTAGGCTTTCGAGCCTATACAGCTTGGAGTAAGACAACATGCATAAAGAGGATGATGTGGTCAAAATACTCATTTGCCTAATAATTCTGCACTCCCTGTATTTAGACATAGGTCTAAATCCGCAAAACATTGTAAGCACAAATTGGACTTGTAGGTTATAATATGTCAGTGGAGGGCTGGGTCATAGTGGCAGGTGGTTTAAACATTCCCAATAAAATACCACAAGGAACAAAACATAACATTTCATTCAGTGCTCCCTGTTTATTTCAGCTGCATCATGTTGTTGTTTTTTGTTTAATATTGGTATGCTATATTTTTACGTACTCTGTATGAGAAAGATTGAGACTTTTTGTTATAGTGAAGTGGGGCTTTCTAATTTCCAGGATAAGCGACCTCCCTAGTTTTTAAACTTAAATCTGTTGTAAGGACTAATGATTAGTCCTGCCATTTCCTGTGGTACTTTTATCCTTACAAAATGCCCCTTTCTCTGTGTATAGGCAACTCCTGAAAATGCTTTAACTTGCTTTCTAATGTCACGTATTGGCTTTACATTGGGCCTTCTGATCTTGCACACCCTAAAAGATAAGCCTACATACTTTCTTGTCTTGGAGGATCTAAAGGTTTATGCTGTTAAAGAGGACAAGACTTGTCATTCGGATAGGGATTGAGCAAATGCAGTTAAATGGGCAAAGCCCAACAAGTCAGAGGGTAGTGTCACATTCTGAGAGTATAATCTAAAGCATGACCATCCTTAATGTCCACCAGCCACCGCTGGAATAAGCATATCAGACCAAAGAACAGGTTTCTCACATATGCTGGTCATCAGGTATTTTCAGCATTCTGCTCTCTCACGCACTGTACGTGGAGTATTCACCAACTAGAAATTGACCAGGCTTCTTTAAACCAAAAGAACCAAGATGAAATCAATAGCAGTGTCAATTCTCTTAAATTCACAGTTTTGTGACTAACCATACAGTTGCAAGAAAAAGTATGTGAACCCTTGGATTTAATAACTGGTTGAACCTACTTTGGCAGCAATAACTTCAACCAAACGTTTCCTGTAGTTGCAGATCAGACGTGCACAATGGTCAGGAGTAATTCTTGACCATTCCTCTTTACAGAACTGTTTCAGTTCAGCAATATTCTTGGGATGTCTGGTGTGAATCGCTTTCTCAATCGGGTTGAGGTCAGGACTCTGACTGGGCCAATTCAGAAGGCGTATTTTCTTCTGTTTAAGCCATTCTGTTGTTAATTTACTTCTATGCTTTGGGTCATTGTCCTGTTGCAACACCCATCTTCTGTTGAGCTTCAGCTGGTAGACAGATGACCTTAAGTTGCAAAATGTCTTGATAAACTTGGGAATTAATTTTTCCTTCGATGACAGCAATCCGTCCAGGCCCTGATGCAGCAAAGCAGCCCCATACCATGATGCCCCCACCACCATACTTCACAGTTGGGATGAGGTTTTGAACACATAGTGTTGTGTATTTCTTCCAAACAACTCAACTTTGGTTTCATCTGTCCACAGAATATTTTGCCAGTACTGCTGTCTAACATCCAGGTGCTCTTGTGCAAACTGTAAACGTGCAGCAATGTTTTGTTTGGACAGCAGTGGCTTCCTCTGTGGTATCCTCCCATGAAATCCATTCTTGTTTAGTGTTTTACGTATTGTAGATTCACTAACAGGGATGTTAGCGTTTGCCAGTGACTTTTGTAAGTCTTTAGCTGACACTCTAGGATTCTTCTTCACATTGAGCAGTCTGCGCTGTGCTCTTGCAGTCATCTTTACAGGACGGCCACTCCTAGGGAGAGTAGCAGCAGTGCTGAACTTTCTCCATTTATTGACAATTTGTCTTACCGTGGACTGATGAACAGCGAGGCTTTTGGAGATACTTTTATAACCCTTTCCAGCTTTATGCAAGTCAACAATTCTTAATCGTAGGTCATCTGAGAGCTCTTTTGTGCGAGGCATCATTCACATCAGGCAATGCTTCTTGTGAAAAGCAAATCCAGAACTGGTGTGTGTTTTTTATAGGGCCGGGCAGATGTAACCAACACCTCCAAGCTCATCACATTGATTGGACTCCAGTTGGCTGACATCTCACTCCAATTAGCTCTTGGAGATGTCATTAGTCTAGGGTTCACTTACTTTTTTCCACCTGCACTGTGAATGGTTACATGGTGTGTTCAATAAAAACATGGCAACATTTCATTCTTTGTGTGTTATTAGTTTAAGCAGACTGTGATTGTCTATTGTTGTGACTTAGATGATCACATTTTATGACCAATTTTTGCAGAAATCCATATCATTCCAAAGGGTTAACATACTTTTTCTTGCAACTGTATAAGAGTTAATATTAAAACTGTTCACTAAGCAAATCATTTTGCACTGCATCCCCCATTATTTCTGTAATGCAACAAGGGATTGAAAAACATAAATAGATAACATTATAGTTGATATGTGTGTTTGCAAAATGTTATTGTCTTTTGAATAGCAATCTTAGGAACAATATGACTCTTTACAGTATTTAGCAATCCATAGTGTACAGATGATCAGACAATAGTTCAAAACCAAAAGTTTATGTTGTCTGACAGTTTAGAAAATTCATATTCTATTTGTATATCAAGGATTGTGAAACATTTCATTCTCTACAAAGTATTTTAGTGATAGTAATCAGAAAATTGTTATTTCTAGTAATTAGATACTACATCAACAGTATGTTACAGCTTTAAGAAATACTATAACAAACCACTTAGTCTCGTGACTTTGTGTACTGTATTTTGTAATGTTATTATCTCATTTTAGTTAAAACAAGGAAGGTTACATTCAAGGCAGTATAATTTACTAATATAGATTCTACACTTATTCAACATAAATAACTATATGGTACATCTGTGTGATAATGGTCTAAGTTGAATGCAGATCATTTAAATTAGCAAAGCAGAAAGCTACTGTTAACACACAACTCCATGACAATAATCAGAATTCAGCAACATAAAATATTGCTATATAGAGTATTATATATGTATAAGCTGCCTGTATAGGTATATGTAATTTCTCAATTTATGGCAGCATCTCAGACCAGATAGAAGATTATAGATATAAACTACTGCTCCCAACATCCACGATGACAGTGGAGTTGAAAGAAGTTGTAGTCTATCTACAGCTGGATTGTCAAATCTTTCCAATCTTAAATTAAGAGTCTTCTTTCAGAAGGGCTTGGCATTCTTTTAGGAATAATTTATCTGAAGTCAAGGTGGCCATATGTTATGGGTCTGCCATGGTAAGGAAGGACCAGGGGACTTGATATTCTCTGGCCCTTTCATATGTTGATTTAAGGGCATGTTAAGTCTTCTCCGAGTTCATCTGAAGTTTATTTGTTTTTAAAGGAAGATATAAAGCATTACACCTTCTCTGTATGTATGCATATATGCGTATGTTTCTATTGAGGGAGTTTAAGCCTGCGTGGGCTAGGCATAAGGCTATCCTAGACATAAGATAAGGCCAGGGACTAATGAGAGTATTTAGAAAATTGGGCAGACTAGATGTCCCAAACGGTTCTTATCTGCTGTCACATTCTATGTTTCTCTGAAAATAGAGGTCCTTGAGACAAAGTTAATTTTTTAAAGGGGCTAGCTTCATATGAGTTTATTTTGCAGTATGTGAGAGTTATAAGTATGTCTTTATAGCTGATATTATAGACACCCAGTAATTGTTTCAATCATTTTTTCGATGTGACACCGTAGAATGATTGTCCTCAGAAACATGCTTTAGGGCATGACCTTTATTATTGCACACTTGTGCTACCTTCACCTGCAAATCTGAATTAGGTAGATCTAGCAAAAGAGAAGTTGAACTGAAAGAAAGTTAAGAACAAGAAGCAGGAGGATGGAGCTTGACTGCTGATCCAACAGAACGCACCCTGAGTTAGCTACATTGTCTGAATGTTGGGAGATAACTCCAGATAATGGGCTATACCAGACTCTGCAGGGTCTTGAACCCCTGTTGGGCAACTAGACAAATCTGTAGACACCAAACCCGTGATTCCTTATTGCTATAAACCTGAGGTGCAACTATGCAGCCTACATGTTGTTGAGCTGATGAGAAGTGGCCTATCTCCTTGCTCTCTGAAGTGTTTAAGCCTCAATCTCATGCCCCTACTCTCCCCCGGACTGCCTATCACAGGCCTCATGTCTATGGTGGATCAATACCACATTCCACCGAGACGGATCTCTGCTGCCCAAGATGGCGGATGCAAACACTCTTGGAAGAGGAAGCATGGCACCAGAATGTGCCGAGCAACAAGACCACATTAGTGATATCCTGGCATCACTAAAAGCTGTATTTGCACATTTTTAGGCTCTCCTAGAAGATCACTCAGTAGCATCATTGTCACCGCCTGCAGTTGGAGCCTGGAGGCACTGAAGATCAAGAGAGCCCCCTCCAAAGGTTGAGACAACATGCACCCACCCCTTTTTACCTGATCACCCAGACTGAGAGCCAAATGGGGCTTGCCCCCTTTCCCATTATGCTCTTTGTTTGCCACCTGCACCAACCTAATGGTTTGTTACACTGATAATTCTGATTTCTGATCCCCCTGACCTCAGCTCTGATAATACAGATGTGTGTGGCAGCCAGGAACTTACAATAGTTAATGTTCAGGTGTCAACATTCTATTGAGCAGCCTGCAATTGGTTTATTTATAAAAACCTTCATTAAGATAACTGCGCTGTATGTTTACCTGTTGCCAGGAATCTGTTACCACCGTCATGAAGTTTCTGTGTTTATGCTTGGCAATCCTACTATCTAATAATACTGCGTTTCTATTTCTGCACACTACTTGACAAAGCAAGGCCACTTGTACAGACTATGATAATTAACATTTCCTTCATATAAGCTTGTGCAGTTTAACAGCCTCACATAGATTTACTTTGTAATCTGCAATTAACTTCATATTGGCACCCTCTAAACTTTAAGCCACAGTTCACACGTGAAGTTATCAATTACTAATACTAAATAAACTTCAGTTTCTAATTGTCCCTCTATACTGACCTTTCACATTGCTCTCTTTATGTTCTACGTCCTTTATCCATAGTTCCTCTCTGAACACCTGGGACTTTGTATCAAGGTGTAAGTGGGATAACATGTATGCATTCAGGGTACTTCCCCCTATGAAGAGTTTTCTGGGATCTGAAAAGAAGCAATATGAGATTTAAGTGTATACAGAACAGCACTCTGTCTGGTATTGCATAGTATTTTTTTAAGTATTTATTTTTAAAAATATTTAATTATTTATTCTGATAAACAATTGTGAGCAATGAACCAGACACAACGAAAGATGAGGAATGGTAACATGTGATGATAGGTTTGGCTATCCCATGGCCACCAATGGAAATTAGTCTGCATCTGCCAAGGCTGATTCTACTGTTTAGCTTCTCCCTCCTGAGAGAAATGTACTTAGATCCTAAGCCTCCATGTCTCCATCGATATTAACTGCAAACGAATGGTTAGCTGATCAGGGACTGTCTTATGTAATATCTATACCGTAACTATGCATACTAACTATGTGGGACACTGGAACCTGAGAGTGACAAATGTGACAAATATTGTTAACAATGCAACATGTAATTCCCTTTGTTTTGTTTTTTTGCTTTATGTTTCCCCGACCCTACTTCTTTTTTTTTATACCTCATATATCTTATGGAAAATAATAATTGGAAAAAAAAAATTGGAAAAAAAATGAATTAATCAATAAAATAAAAACAAATACAAGGGAAAAAAAGAAACTCCATGCCCTTAAAGGGACACTATAGTCACCAGAACAACTACAGCTTATTGTATTTGTTATGGCGAGTATAATAATTTTTCTTCAGGCTCTTTGGAGTAAACACTGTCTTTTCAGAGAGAATGCAGTGTTTGCATTACAGCCTAGGGATAACTTCACTGGCCACTCCTCAAATAGCTGATAGAGGTTAAATAGTTATATAGTTACATAGCTGAAAAGAGACTTGCGTCCATCAAGTTCAGCCTTCCTCACATTTGTTTTTTGCTGTTGATCCAAAAGAAGGCAAAAAAAACCCAGTTTGAAGCACTTCCAATTTTGCAACAAGCTAGGAAATAAATTCCTTCTTGACCCCAGAATGGCAGTCAGATTTATCCTTGGATCAAGCAGTTATTACCCTACATGGAAAGATTATATCCTTGCATATTCTG